GAGTTAACGATGTTACAAGCGAGAATGACGCTTGTAACAATGTTACATTCAAGCGTAGTGCTTGTAATAATGTTTGCGTTTTAAATAACGCTTCTTATAATGCTGCAATCAAAAATAGAGATTCCAACAATGTTTGCGTTCAAATATAACGCTTCAAGCAATGTTGCATTCAAAAGTAACGCGTGCAACAGTGTTTTGCATTCGAAATAGTGCTTCCATCGATGTTGCATTCGAAAATAGAGACTGCAACAATGTGAAATAAAAGTATCTTGCTATTTAAAAATCACCGTTCAACACTATAAAAGTTGGTTTCCTGCTACTGCAACCATGTCCCACACCTCGATCAATTTGCAACCTCAACTCACACGGGAACAAGGGCTCCGCGCAAATAAAACGTCATTATACATTCTAAACGTATTTCTCCACCCCTATAAATAACTCCTCTACATATATTGATGTAGAATATCGATATGTCAGTTATGAATTTACCGACACGAAATAAAGGCTGCAGCCGCTTCGATGCAAATTGTCGGAAGCTGGTGTCAAAATGATTTCCGTGCATCCTACGCCATTTCACATAGAACCATCGCGGCTATTCATTTGCATTAGTTCCAGGGTTTCGGCAAGAATCGGTATGACTGCTTTCAAGTGCTTGCTTTTCCTTGGTTCCATTTTTCTCACGCAGCGTGCTTATGTTGGCAACGAACCCGTGTGACGTCAAAGAAACGGTTATGTCAGGCTAGTATCATCACCATGAATGAAGTTTATCTGTACGAATGAAGAGAATCGGAAAAAAAAGATCTAACAAGATCATTATGCCGCAAATAAAACTATTTATTTAATATACTCTTTGAATGAAACACAAAGTGAAGATAGCATCACATATGTAAAATTAAACAGCTGTTCACTTTGAAGCACAGGCGTCCTTTTCAACTTTCAATCATGTTTTTTGTTTATTTTAAAACATTGACAAATAAGTACAAGAAATACAGATTCACATAATGAACTTAACTTTAAGTTTTTCTCGAAAGGAAGACATCACAAGCATCATAGACATGATGTCTATTAAATGATATTCCAGGAGAATTAGTAACACACATCAAATAGAATTCTATACATATAGTTTCGTCTCTGCTAACGATATCCTTGCCACGATTAAGTATTTCTTCCTTACTAAATGAATATGCAAGTGATAGAAATTTAGAAAAGCAAACCTGGTTGGAATTCAATTGTTGAGGTTAAATAATTTCCGAATATTATTTCAATATATACGTTGTGTATATTCCATGCAATGATTCGATTTGAATGAAGTTGTATT